ATGGGCTTCTAATCAGAATAAGTGAAAGCGATTGAGGTAGCAGGTTTGATCACCTCCAAGCCCCAGCCATAAACTCACCGTGAGGTCTGACAAGACCAAGCAGGCTGGCAAATGCTGCCATCCAGGCATTTCGGATGGATATCAAGTTCCAGCGTCCAAGTCGTCACGAAGCGCTGGATAGAAAGCGTCCAAGATATCACGGGGCTGTAACGGAACATCAATTTCCCGAGTGCTGCCTGGCCATCGGCAATCCGCTTTAGGACAAGCCCTTCGCTCCTCCAGCGTCGCCGACTTCCTTTTCATCCTAAGCCCAAGCAACGGGGAGGACAGCATCGATTTTTATAACCAGCTTGGAGTGCGCCTTCAGCAAAGATCATCAGAGAATCAGAAAGAACCGTTGTGTCATCCATAGGGCGTGGCTGGCCGTGACTTTACGGCGGAAACCATTCCGCCGCTTGTGCCTCTTATATATACTACCCCTTTCATTCATAATCCAGCATTGCCAGACCAGTTGCATAAACTCTGATATCTTTCCCTTGTACTATAGCGGTTGCTGAGCTGTATCTCGCGAGAGTTGCCCGACCTTGTACGGAAACCATCACCTTCCCTACCTGATTGTCTTGCGCGCCATCATATGACAGGTGCTTGCGAAATTTGAGCGTACATTCTGTTTGCATGATCCGCGCCGTCACCTTTGACGGGATGGCGGTTCTTAACTCCATGTTATACTGTGAAGAGCTCATGTTGAGGTCTTTTACAGATTATATACCAGTTGAGGTTGCTCCTTTATATCTCCGGCCATCGTACCGGCCGTCTTTGGTGATATATCAGCAGTGATAAGGATGTCATATACGCGCAAGTCCAAACCACCAAAGTGCAGTCCTTTTTCAAAACGGTCCTAGGTGGTTGCTCAAGCTGAGAAGCTTGAAGCCAACCACTGCAAAAGCCCCAAAGCATAAAGCTGCTCCATATGTTACATGCCGACTTCGATTGGAGGCACCAAGCAAGTTGTGGAGCATAACCGAGCCAAGAAGCCCGGTGTTCTGGTCTTTCCGGTCATCACCTTAAACCATAGAGCAGATGGGCCCATTCTACTCCGTAGTGCCGGAATGCATAGCACCGGTCGCGAATGAACGATTTCCTCGCAGTCTGCAGTTGTGGTCCCCTTTGCCACAGAGCCTGACGTGGCATGGCAATGACAAGGCTGTATGCCGACTGGTGACCCCTCACGATTTGCACTTTCTCCATGAGCAAATTTGGTGGCAATAATCATATTGAAGTCCAAGCTGTCATTCTCTGCGACTCCCATATATGTTCATGATGACTGGAGCGGTTTTTGACACACGATCTTGCGAGGTTCCCATAATATTTTGTTAGAACCCACTTGACACGACGGTTGTCCTTCAGACTGGCAGTCAACATTCCATCGTTTGATTCGTCCAGCTTCCCACCTCGCTCGATGTGGTGGGAGCAATCCCTTGTCATGACGGGTCATCAGCCATGTCACCTTGCTCTCTGCTCCCGACCAACCAACAACCGCTCGGCATGACATCCCCTGCAACGATTGTCAAATGTTGTCGAGTTGAGCAAACAGTGAGTCATGTGATATAGTCATTTCCGCTGGGACAGTTGCTTTCAAGTTTACTTGCAATTATGCCGGGATCGGGATGTTTGGCTGACAATTGCAAGGACTTTGTCGCTAGCGCGATACCATGGCGGTACGCTCACTATTTGTATTGAACTAATGCACGCTAATGTCCCAAGGCAAGGCGCTAATGCACAACTTCTCTTTCGTATTGTGTTAAAATTGTCCGTGGGTGACATCACACTATCCAATGAAGTCAAAACACCAGGCTGCAAAAGTGCTTCGATTCCAGACGTGGCTAGCTCGATCAAACATTTCATTGGCGCTCACCGCCTGCTGATGCAAGCCAACTTTCCAACACCCGATATCAGCCTGACCAAGTCGCCGTCGTATCTCAGGCCCCCTCCTTCATGTTCTTTCTCCCTGTCCTGGGAAGAAAAATTCTTTCCACCTTCTCCCGAAATATCCCTTTCTTCCGAGATATTTTTGGCTCTCCTTTGTCCACTAATTATCTTATAAAATAATTACTTCTGTTCTGAGAAAAAAAAATTTTTTTCTCCTATTTTTTCCTCACTTCTTCCAATGCGTGAAATTCGCTGACTTGTCCTCTTCTGCCCTCTTTCTGCTGATGGTGCTCTGGCCACGAGTGAGCCTAAATAATACCGCTAGTGGTACGAAATTTATCTCGGGCGACACCACAACTTCACCAAAAGTCTTGGTATGAGGGAATATTACTTGTTTTAGCTCTAGCGTTTGCATGGGTATGGCCGATTGCATGATTTCTTGCTGCGGCTGGGCTAGTGTGAAACCGGTCGTCAACACCATGAGACCAGGAATTCCGGCGGCTCCCTCCCCTTTGTCTCCTTCTGCCCTCTTTGTTTGTTCTTCGTCCACTTCGCTGCCTCTCTCTTCACAATCATTACCGCCATACACAGAGTCTCCAACGGAACTTCATGCTCATATAAACGAAAATAGATGTGGGAAACACCGACAGTCAAAATGGATATACTCATATGAACGCTTAGCGCCGCTTTATACCCCTTACACTCCTTTAATATTCATGATGAGTACTGTTGAAAGGAGCCTTATGAGGGCTTCAAGTATGACCACCAGTCCAAGATTATCAACCAAACGAGAATCAACACCACCATCCGTCTCCGATCCAGCCCTGGTTCATATCCACGATCGTTTGCATCAAATAGATGCCCAAAGTAGTCGATCTCCGTTCCTCCATCTTGACCCCTGATGAAATATGTCGACCGACGAAACCGCCAGGATGAGTTCATCCGGCGAGAGTTTGACGGGCAACGCCAGGTTTGCAGCCGTATCGAGCTGAACGTGGGAAGGACAAAGAATGACGTTACCCAACTAAAGGACGGGTTAACCCAGTTGAAGTCGGAAATGCTACAGCTCAGGACTCATGTCTCCCAACTTGGTTCAAAAGAAGCATATCTCCAGAGCGATATCACCCAACTCCAAAGCGATGTCAACCAACTCCAGCTCGACGTCCAAAAACTTCACACCGATGTTTGTGCTACCCGTACCGACCTCAGCCAAATCCAGACTATTGTGAGCCAGCTTCGCATCGATTTAATGACTCTGCAACGGGAGACCTCCCAGAACTTCGGACTCGTTTTCTCTCGATTCTCTGCCATGGAATCGAGGATGAAGCACATGGAACGCACACGATTCAACTCTCTCGCCCAGACGATACATGCTCCCATTACTCCAGTCCCACTTGTCGAAGATGACGGCTCTGTTCGTTGGCCCGAATATTTCCCTCGAACAGTTTGGAAGTTTTGGTGCTTGAAGAAAAGAAATAGAAGTAAGTACATAGAAGAGAATGGGAATTAAAAGGGGTGCTGTGGTGTGGCTTGCAGCCATACTAATTTAAATATCCTAGTTCATCGACTGGGTCGAGCTTGCAGGTTTTTACATAGCTGGAAGGATATCAATATTGGGGGCAGAATGCGTCATGCTCACGATTCTACTTTTGACACAGATGGAAATATGACCGATTCAAGCGACTCGAGTGACCTTTCATCAGTACCTCACACGTGCAGAGGCGGTCCGGACAATACACCTGAGGCTTGCCATCAAGCTTAGCTTGCTACTCTCGGTTTTGTTTTAATAAACGTACTAAAAAAAAAGTGACGAAGATCCTTCTATGCTGCATCAGTTCAGCTGCGCACAAACGTATGCAGGATGAGGTCACATCAATTAATTCCTCGTCAAAGCAAAAGCCAGCCAAACTCTCCCGCCGCTCCAACGAGAGCTCACCAACCAATTTACACCGGATCCACATCGGCCCTGCCCTCGATGCAAAGTCCATCGTTTCTGAAGGTCTGGATAGGCTGGGTTGGAATGTTCACGGGTCGCAGATGTCCGATGACACGATGAGTAAACTAAAGGGGATTGTATCCGACGAAGTCAACTCCATCCTGCTTCACGCATTGGAACGGGGTCGGATTCGACTGCAGCCCGGTGCCCTCGAACCCCGCCAGCAATCGCCCACTAACTTTTCCAGGCTCAACATTCGTTCCAGGCCAAACTTCGATGAATCCCCAGGCATACACGATGACGAAATGGTTACCGTTTCCAACACTGTTCCAACCGAAATCATCTCACCACGCTCTCCCGACGAAGGTCGGCAGTGGATTCCAGGACGGATGTCGGAAACTCCTAGCCCGTAGCTAACTGTCATCCCGTGGCTTTCAACTTCCATGTCCTCTCAGTGCCTGGAGTCTAGTCATTTTCTCATCTCAATTTTGCCTCCTCGCTTTCACATAGGAACCCTTACATTCCTATTTATAAGCTACGGAGAGTTGACTTGGGTTTTTGGCTAATGAATTTGATTGGGGTAGAAGTGTCCGCGAGATCCGTGTACTCTTTTACGTCCGCTACCGATCATAGTCTCCTTTCTACGGTGATCGAAGTAATTGTACCTTCGCTCCCACGACTTCGTTCGTTGGTTCACTCTCGATTCGACGAGTGTTTTGGGTGACGAGGGTAAAAAAATAATAGGGCAATAGATGGCCTTTATGGAAAACCAAACATCATGGATATGTCATCTAACATCACCCGTATTTTTGAGAAACTGCATTACATGGCGCTCTGGGACCCCCTTTGCAAGCATTTCCCGGCGTCCTTGTTATTTGGTTTTCTTTTTTCTCTCCTTCGGACAGCGAATTATGACTCTCGGTTTCTTTCTTTTTTTTTTTTTTTTTTTTTTTTTTTTTTTTTGACACTTGATTTATATCCTATGTACATACATACCCATACTTATCCCCCCCTCTTCCCAATCCTACTTTCAAGTAATCTGTAGTTTTCGGCGTTTTGGTCTTGTCTTGGTTTGTTTTTTTGCCCTCGTTTTAATACATTCGTAGCCGATAAATTCTCCCATTGCCAACTCCAAATACAATTTTCAATCAAAGCAGATGTTTCTTTTATCCTCCAAGCAGCCCGCTGAGCCAGGTTTGTAGAGTTGCGTCGTGAACGAATCTTCCTTCGTCCCCTGACCAATGTGCACGTGAATTTTAAAGCCCTAGCTACTTTTGCTTTAAATACGACAATTTAGTATGAGAGAGTACCTACCTCTACGTTGTGTGCTGGTGCCAAAGTGGCAGAGAAAGTTGATGTTAACTTCGTTATGTGTATGGGTCCAAAATCAACATAACATACATAATTGAAATGATTTCTCGTCTTGGCGCCGCCGTGGCAATCCTGGATTTTAGTATGTCTTCTAATGCGAGAGGTAAGTGTTTCCCCTTTTTTATTGTATAGAAATAAATGTTTCAGGCTAGGAAGAGGGCATTGAAAACACGGCAGAAAGAAGAAAAAGGAAGAGAAGAAAAGAAGTTCCCAATTGCACAGCACACATTTCCTCATGCCAGATGTGAGAGATATTCTCACGGGGTGTTCATCTTGGCTAAGAGATAGCAGATCGATTACATCCTACTACTAGTACACATCGTGATTGTGACATACTGCATCTTACATAGCTGGAATGATACCCCTAACCAGCTACCAAAAACCAACGCTCTGCAAGCTCTTTACCTTTCGGATGGTTTACTGCATGGCTAACGGAGTAGGCGTACTGAGACCAAGGGGTTTTGTTTATGTTTACGCTTATTTTATTCTTATTCACTGGCTGTTTTTCGCGTTTGTGTGATGAAGGACTGGTTCCCTACTCCGAACGTTGTCGTATTGTGTTTGCATGTAGGATTGGAAGAACATAGAAATAATTTTTTACTTAACTGACAAAAAAATCGTGTTTTTGTATAACTAACTTCCAAATAAGGGCTTTGGAAGAATTAAATGGGGGGAACAATGACAGGGTAAATTAAATCGGCTACATGTTTCTGTCCATTTTTTTTTTTTTGGGGCGCGGACGACGGGGGTCGGGGATCATTAGTTTAGGTCGATGCGCGCGTACGACAAGTTTCTCTTCAATATAACACTGATATAGATCCATTCTGATTGCCCGTGGGTTTCTATCGTTCCATCTCCACCTCTTAAAAGACATGATGATAACAAATCCTGGGAATATGAGGATGACATCACTCGGATTGTTACGCTATAGCGAGCGTATACGCTCCCCCCATT